TGTATATATATATGTGTGTGCGTGTATGTTTTTGTATTGTGTGTATATGTATGTGTGTTGTTTGTGTGTTTATATGTATGTTTGTATACACATCATATATTGTATATTTTATATTCTTTGTTATATATATTTTTCATAATCATTCATAGTTGTATTAGTGTTTATCGTTCTATTCGTAGTCATTTACAGTAATATATTTATGCAATTTTGTATATGTGTCGTACTACAGCATAGCGTTTGCAATAATTTGTGCTGTTCGTTTTAATCATTGCATTGAAGATTGGTATATATACCTCGTTTGAAATATCATTTAGACGTCAAAATCATCGCTCTCTGTCTGTTATAAGTAAGCATGCCGTTAGATGGTTGTGTTATTAGTCATTAACGTACTTAGTACCTGTCACCTACCCATGTCGAGTATCTTGGACATGTACTCTTCATACAATGACTACATACTATACACCGTCCGGGTCATCAGACACGCTGTAGGGCTGATCACGTATGTTAACTCACACCACTGCCTGTAGTTCTGGATTGTTCTATCGCTATTCGTTATGCTTGTCATAGCTTGTAAGTTTAAGTAGAAGCTTATGGATTGCTGTCACGTGGTGGCCTGGCTGTCATCGTGTACGTGCCGCCTGCCACAGTAGGAACTGTGGCTCGTGTGTGTTACGTATACATTAAGAATGGTGTCTGTTTGCAGAGCACTAGGGTTTCACACTTGCTAGAACGTGCACCCACACGGCAGGTCAATAGACTCCAGCTAAGTGTGCAATTGTTCACTGTAGCATGTTCCTCAGTCTCACAAGTGTAGCACGTATACACCCGCGAGATGTGTGAAGGCTTTCTCAACATGGGCGTCTCACCAAATCACCGTTACGTTTACTGTGACAGGCCGTTGAAGATGAAGGTGGCGTGGGACTTTGCAGCCTGGGATGCTCCCAAGTTGCAGCCGTGAGAAACACTCCTAAGGCTCAACCGTCAAGGATACTATTGGGTGTGGGGCGTTGATATTCGCACACAAAGAATGGTACAAGGTATAGAACATTGATGCTCCAACCGCCAGCGGTGGTGACGGCGTCATAGCACTGATTGGATTGTGAGACGAGAAATAAGTAGGACGCACCAACGACAGATAGCCACTCAATGAACCGTATCTACATGGACGGGACTTCTATTTGTAGGAGTGGAGTGTCAGTTGGTTTACAAGCAAACCGAACATGAGTGTTTTCTCATATCAGGAAGATTGCTAACCACTCCACGGCATTGTTGATATCGCAAATGTGGTAGGAAGCGATCGAATGGATCTATCACACACACTACAGCTGTGTATCTTTGGCTCTACAGAGGCTAGAGATGAGTTGATCCGTTTGAATCTATCACAACTGGCGAAATGTCTCGTGGCTCAGTGAAAGCAATCAACAGCACAACCAGCTATCGGATCTAATAAAATTTGAGCTAGTTTTGGTCCATGATGTTCTTAGAAGGATTGTTTTGATATATCTACCTATCCATCTGCCGAGTGGATACGTGTACGATTGTATCTTGAAAGCACTTAACTAAACTTATACGATATATATATGTATATGTATAGATGTATATGTATA